AAAATTTATGTCATTTCAAGATTTCGCTGATAGGTGTCGAGACAGAATTTAATTGAGACGACGTTACTTTGGAAAATGAGTAAGTCAATTATCAGATAATTCCACCGACTAATTGACTGTTAACGTAATGATGTGAGTGATGGCTGAATGTAATTTCAGATGGTGTATGAGGGAAAATTGAATGATTATGGTTATGATGTCTATCTAAAACCAGGAAGTGCAGTCTCCATTTACTTACAGCCCCGTTATTTATCTAGGAAAATAAAATTTAACGTCCGGTTTTTATTGAGGGAATTTTTAAAATAACAATGAGGTAACAAATCCCCGCTGTCATCCGTTGGGTTCGTTGACGGGTGTCAGAAGAAAATTTAATTAAACGGACATCATGATACTTTATCCGGCAAGTAATTCAATCCTGCGATAATTCCACCAGCTAATTGACTGCAACGATGATAATATCAGGAATTGAATATAATTCTCATTTCTGCACTAAACATTGGCGCATCATAATTTTAATTCATGCTGTACTGTTATCGTCTTATTTAGTAATTTTTTATGGGATCGTAATCCAGCGTGAACTTTAACGGAGAAAATTATCTGCAATGCGTGTGAACTGAACAATTTATTTCCCGGAAAAAGAACTGTTAACCGAAATATCATTGCCATATTATTATTATATATTCATTAGTTTAATAATTTATGGCTCTCCGCGGGAGTTTCTAGTTTTTCCCATTATTTAGGAGCTAAAAATCTTAATCTCGGACAGATTGGAGTTATAATCACGGTAAACATGAGAATGCGGAGGTAATCATATGTGCACGTGAAATTTTTATGAGTACGCATGTTGAGATTTGATTTTTTTAATGCGGGGAAAAAGATTAACGGGTTTAACCCTCGATAAAGCCCTCTTTTCTCATCACCGTTATATAGATAAATTTTTTGAGTGTAACATGTTCTGCATATTTATTTCCCATCTGATATTTTTATATGACACGAACCAGTAGAGTCCGAAATTTCTATCACTTGCTCTTGGAAATTAATTACAACATAATGAAAACAGAGACAATTCAATTTATTAAATAATTACCTGCAGTTTCAGATGAGAAATTAAATATCATTTACTGATTTATTTTGACAACCGTTGATTGCCTTTATGAGGCAGAAATTACGGAATTGCAACAAAACTCTGAATAAATAAATCTATTTCTGTATATAGAATTTCCCCATCATCCATCGGTATTAATTTCCGAGATTATTCTCGATTTAATCCGGTGTGATTGTGATTTCTATGTGGTACATGCAGTACATACCCGCATTGATGCTTAACCCTCGTGTATGTAGATCACATTGACAATATGTATATATGTGGTTATAATATGTGGCCTAAGTATCTACTGGTGACGCACATAATGTAACCTTGGAACAATGCGAGGAAATAGTGGGGCCCATTATAAACCGAGGGTATTGTACCGGATGTCTACGGGTTTCGAGTGTCGTCCAAGCCATAACATCAATGTATATGTGCGATTATTTGTATTTGTATTGGTGATTGTCACAACGTGCGTGCATTTGGTTTATTAAGGCTCCAAGGGGTTTACACAAGTGCACATGTGCGTACCGTATGGCTTGGAAATTCCTCTCTGTCTCATTACGATGCCTTCGGGTTTTGGCTGAAGGACAAGGGCTTGATGAGGGTGGATGCCACCCCTAGATTTTCATATCCTCGTGGCATATTATACCGTAATCCCTCATTCCGTGGCTTGTTGCATATCATACTGCCAGTACTATATATGTTGGTGCAGAGTACCTGCTGGGGTGAGTTCAGATAAACGCTAGATAATGAAGCACGTTGACTTTCTCATCTCTACAACCATTTCTCAGTACCAAACTCATTTATGGCCTCATTTTCTAAACCGAATAATCCGAGTAATACTAATTCTCAACCGTTCAATTGATCTCAGGGATATGTCTGCTGGTGGTGAATTGCTGGAATCATAGATCATCGCCTCGGGCTGGAGTGAGAAAAACGTTTTTGTTTTTTTTTTCTTTCTCTGTACGAAGGGTGTATTATCATTTGTATCTAGGGTCGAGTATGTTCAACATCAGAAGTGAAGAATTTTTGATGTAAAAATTTTTAATATTTGTAAATTCATGGGGAATGTTAATTCACGTTCAATCATTTCGCGATAATTAATAGAAATCGGGTAATTGAGGTAAAGGTGCACGAGATCACTGTAAAAAACTTCTTCCACTTTGGAATAACATTCCAACAGGTAATGCTCGTTGCGGTATGATTCTCAGGACACCTGTTCTCATTTCCATGCGAAGAAATCCATAAAAATCTCTCCGTGCTGGGTGATTTTTTAGGTCAATGCAAAGGTGACGAGGCCAATTCGACAGTATTGAGAATCATGAAAAGTCGGAAGTGATTTAATTGGATGATTATCGAGAAGCGAAGCCGATAAATGACTTGGGTTAATAGAATAGCCGATAACAGGCCGTCATCTAGGTTTCCTCTGGCCTAGTGCTGAGTTGGCAATCAAAGAATTATTAGGGAAAAACAACGGTGTTTTAGCATCATATCTCATTAAAATAATTTTCAATGATCCAGAGTCATTTCCACTTCTGTAAATTACTTCCCGTCTACCTCACAGCATTAATGACCAATAATTACTTGTTGTAAATGCATTGATTTCAGGAGAAATTCGCGTATTTATAGGAGAGCTCGGGCGTCAACGCCTCATTATTTTGAATAATTAAGGCGCCAATTAACCTAGACCGTTCGCATAATAAATCACTCCTAATTGCTTCCAATTCTCACGCACTCGATTATTAAAGAGCGAATAAACTTCCCAAATGCTAGATAAAGAGCCAATGGGATTTTTTTTTTCCCTCACCCCCGAGTTCTTTACATTTTATCGTTTTATTTTTTCTTGTTTGTACACCTTTTTGCAAACTCCTTTAACTCGTGCTATATAACATGCTGTATGGTGTGAAGGGGGAGAATGAAGGGAGAAAAATACGAGAATTGACGTCATTGCCCCGTAATTGGCAGTTTGTTTTTTCTTCTCGTTTTTCATCCTGTCGCGCTGCATACGCACAATAATTAATCCTCCATGCAATCAAACACGCGATGAACTCACTCTTACGTGCGAGGGGATTGACAATTTTTTTTTCATCCGCCCCACTCAGAGAGAAATGGAACTTTTTTTTAAATATTTAGTTTTTTCAATGAAAAATCCGATTCGACTTTTTTACAGCAATCTCAATCTTCATGTAATTTCAGTATAATTTAAAAATTATCATTCTAGTAATCCATGATTATTTCAGGAAAAAAAAGTTAATTAAATTACGAATTTCGTATTACCCAATATTCTGACGTTTTTGCGAAAATAAGATGACGAATGCTGAAAATTCAACGGAATTTTCCGACGGACATTGAAATTTTGTTTATTTTCATATTTTTATATTTGAGTCGATTTCTGTTTCTCAGGCAAACATAAAAATACATCTGGAAGATGTTCCCCTAGTGCCAGATATCTCGACGATCTTTTAAGTTTACGGCTTGAAGTTTATAGGATTCGTACAATATTGTATGGAGAGGCCTTGTTGCAGAGTCTTGCATGCGAAACTTAACTCACACACAAAAGGGAACATGTTTCGATAGTTAGGGTTGACCTCATTACTTCTACCCTGAATAGAGTCCATGCAAACTTTACCAGTGTTGTCATTCATGATAAGCATTTCCAAGTTGAATGCTAACCAAGTTGCTTTCCAGCGAAATTAGTGCAGATCCTTTGTGCAATTTATGCAACAATTACCTTCAAACTCCACTCTCGCAGATTTCAACTAAAAAATAAAGAGATTGAGCCAGAATAATGAGTTCTTTGAGCTAAAACGAACACCGCTGACAAAAAGATATTATAAATACAGACACTATAATTAAAATTATAAAAAAAAAACTAATTATTCTTACCAAATTAATTTACCAATTAGAAAATCCATGTATTTGATATATAGATTCAATTGGTAGAGGTAAATCGATGCAAGAGGCAAGGATGATTCGTGATTGGTCAGTGGAATTGGAGGGGGGCGGGAAATTTGAATACGACGCGCGAATCGCGCATAACTGAATTCCCCTCGCATTTCCGTTGATATATAATTCCACAACGGGCTCTTTTATCACATTTTTTTCTTCATCATTCTCGAAAACCAGGGGCTGTTGAATGGAGCCACACATTCGCCCTAACGGGTATTGCACGACAGTCGATAAAACGTGACTATGATTTACGTGTTGTACGTAGGACGAGTGTACGTTATGGCCTTATCATCCACTCGGATATGATTATATACGTCACAAGGAGTGATAATATATATACCGTGCTTTTACGTTTATAGAATACTCTTTCATCCATTCAAGAATCTCCCTTTCACACTTCATCGTTTTACTCCCTTTGTCACCGGTTTATTACATTTAGCCATTTGATTTTTTTTTTTATTATTATTTATTAACACCCGTTACGGCCACGACGTCACTGTTACCTTTGTCTATAATAAAATACCGCAATATTTTTTAATAGCTCTTTTATATTAGTCGAATGGAACAACTGATGGATTTAATTTTCACCTCGGTATATTGGTGTTTCGCTCGAGTGGGCGCATTCATCGAATTTATTGCCGAATATATTTCCAATAACCGTTGGAGCTATCTTGAATCAATTTAAACACCCAAATGAAAACTAAATATGTAGATGGCAATTTTCACTGATGAGTACACATCAGTGGACGTTGCGTAATTATAATCATGAACACATTGTGTCACTTGTGGGCTTTTCAAAATTTTCATTGAGTCATAACGTTTGTCACCAAAATTAACAATTAATGTAGTATGACAGTAATTCTAAATTCTACGTGAGTTAACGGGGGTAATTATTCCAATTGTTTGATATCAACAATATTTCATACAAAAGTAATAACATTTTTTGTTTCTTTTTTTGCAGATTATTTGAGAACGGAAACTGGAGTTTGCAGTTTGTAAGTATTATCAGACTTTTTGTTGTCAAGAACAGGGGTTCAACAGATAGTTAATAAATTACCCTGCAGCGATAATTCGTAATTACATTAGCCACATTTCCGGGTTTTGATGGTGAACAGCAAGAACAGGTGTTATTTCAGTGAATTAATTAATTCTAGGTAGAATTCTGCGGCGACAAAGTGGAGGATACGGAGTATGTCGTTAATTAAAACATTTCTTAGGGTAAAGTCAGAAATGTCGGACGAAATGTACGTAATTGTGCATTCTCTCGGTGCAGACCATTGCTCTTTTGTTTCCCGGTGAACATTTTGCGACGTCACGTACCTGGACAATTCTCGTAAAGCAACCATAACCATATTCTCGGTTATATATCCACAAAGTGTAGGTAGGGTTTTCTCTTCTCCTGCTTTTTTGCAGTTTTCTCGTTCAGACCGCACATGAGTGAGGTTTTTGCTCCCACGTGACGACGAGGAGTTTACAATCTCAATGGAATAGAAATTAGATGGTTTATATTTAGCTGCAGTCTGTTTCCATTTGTATTCTCAACAGTTGTTGAAAACCACGAGATATCATTTTTGTAACAAAGCCCGTGACAAAAAATTACACTCATTCCACCAAATATCTAGCTGATGCAATTATTCAATTGCGATTATCACCTATCAATGTACCGAGGTATTTCAGTTGTTTCTCTATTTTTTTTAAATATTAGAACTTGCTTACGTATTTATTTTTCAACTACGTCAGTATCACGCGTAGACAAGAACTCGAAGCGTAAAATTGAACAGATGATTGTCGATTTCATCGTATTGGTGTAAAATCAATCCTTGCCAATAGCCCTGGATGCTCAATAGGTCCTTTTTTGTTGGAAATTCTCATCTGTCTTATCGGGATTCGAATTTAGCACGACCGGTGAATTCAGAAGCAATTAAATGGAGAACTGTTTGAGTATTTTCTGCATCCCACCGTGAATGCAGGCAGGTCGAGATTAAACTCAAAGGTACAGGGCCATCTCATTGAAGTGTAATTTCCAGTTTAAGTTTTCAGAGGATTGAAAGAATTTCGCTCTTTATTCGCGGTTGACCCTTTCCACTTGTATCAGGTCCTTCTGGGCATTCATGCACAAACTACCACTTTTCCATTTTGGAGAACAATTTAAACTTGATGTCAATTCAAACGTTGCAATTCCCTGGGTGAGGTTGAATTTTCCCACAATCACCCATCTACACCCACGCGTTCAATGCTCTCTGTTTGTTTTTCATTTCAATTTGCCAAGCGGAGGATGATAAAAAAAAAATCACCCTTTTTTCGGTCATCTCGCGAATGAAATTTTTCCCCCAGAATTCTCCAGGAACGCGAAATTTCATTCGTTATTGAATTATAGATTATTCGATTCGAAAAAAACCGGTGTTCATTCCCCCATTTTTTTTCTCCATGTTCTTGTCCCCTGGACACATTTTTTCGTCACCTCCAACTGCAGATTCTTTCGGGTCTGGTAATCCGCTTAGTTTGAAAGCGTGAAATGTTAAACTTGTGTATCGCAACGAGTTTTTCCCCTCTCCAGGTCCACATTGTTATCGTTTGTTTTTAATTTACGGAGATTTTAGGGGAAAATCCCCGGGGGAATGTTTACTTCTGATAACGAATGACAACAGCGTGAAGGAATAACAATGAGATCAATATTTATATAGATTTGAGATTGCGCTATCAGTTATCTGCCGGATGAAGGGATTCCGAGGGTATTTCAAGTCGAAGGAGTTTGCAAAGCCGAGTGGAAAATTATTACTTTACTTCTGTGCAAAAATATCTGACTCGTTGGATTTTTTCTCAAACTATAATTCACTATAAATTTACCTCACCGGCCCAACAAATACTTCAACCACTCGCTATATGCAAAAACAATAACAAAAAAAAGTTGTAACACCCTATTCCGCCGAGTGCGAGGCATTAACCGATGCAGAAACAAAACCTGTTGTATTCCCGCGGTGTAATTCTATATACAAAGTCTTTATGTACAACGCTCAACATATTAGTGGACTCCTCTCGGCGAAAGAAACCACAATAGCCAGAGTAAGAGCACCGGATCCTAAACAGTGAAAATAGGTTTACGAATGTTGAAACATAACACAGGAGAAAATTGTGGTGCATATTCTTTGAATTACTAGGGCGGGTTCATAAACCTGCAGAAAAAAAATTGCACATGCGACGAAGAGTGTTCTCGAAAGTTTGTACATTCATACGCTCACGTGATGAGAATTCCCATGCAATCATTTTCATTTCCCGTGATATTTATCCGGATGTGTTTTTCACATTGAGTTTTCCAGGATGTTAGAGAAAAATTCTTTTCACAATTTTGCAATTCCGAAGGTACCGTGTAAATATAAAAATCTAAAAATCTCCGGTAACTGTAAAATAACCACACGAACGACTGAAATAAAAAAAAAAAAAGGAGCACATGTACGCGTCAAATGTGAAATGGATATTCAACGTGAACTCGTGATCTTCTCCATGAAGTCTGTGAAATGTAACTTTTGCACTCACGCCTCGTGTTACCGTTTGAATGTACATGCGGATCTTCACGTTGAGTATTGCAAGTGCAGAAATTGTGCACCCAGTACTGCGCTTTCCATTCTCACTGCCAATTTTCACGTTGGAAAAACGTGGTACGTGACACGTTGAGTCAAAGGGAGATTTAACACTGCTATTTCTACGCCATATACGCTTGACAGACATTTTTACAACTCGCCAAAGTGCATTTGCATTGCTGCAACCTACGGAGGAAATTGCTGGTATCAAATACTGGTGATAAACCGTCAGCTGGATAGAGTCATTTTATATCAGCTCAAGGAAATTATTGTCTTCGTATCGATAATCGATACTCACCGCTCACAGCTCCCGAAATTAGTGGATTTCAAGGCATTTTAGACTGATTTAATTATTCAATTGAAGAAGCAAATTCTTCAATTGAATTTGAAATGGTAAAATTTATGATAGAAAATGAGTCAAATGAATCATTCAGGTGAGGATGAGTCAGGCATATTGATTTGAGCATTGCTAATGACACGAAAAAGGTCCATGACTCACTCTTCACTAGAAATAAATCTGGACATCATGTCCATGTGCTGACGCTTTTTTTCAAACGAAATATAACAATGGAATAAGATTTTGGAGATCAAAGGCAAACGTTGAATTGAATCTGCGGGTATTCTCTAAAAAGATAATGTAGGAAAAAATAAAGGGGGAGTGCTCTCGAGAGTGAACTAATTTCCGCCACCTTTTAACTCAGTAATGGAATTGCCAGCAGTACTCGTGATGCGGGAACTCTCTGTGCACCATATCCCAGGCTTTTCAGTCCGAAAATAATCCCTCGTACTTTTTAAAATGTGAAAAATCATAGTGTTAATGAAATTGATTGGACAATTGCCTTTTTAATTTGACGACCGAGTATTCACCGAGGATTGATTGATAAAACCGAATACAGGGGTTGTCTTCTTCATCCTATCGAGGATATACCATTTCCCCAGTGGAATCCTGTCTAGACGCACTTTTGTAATATCAAAAAGGGGTTCATCCTATATCAAATCGATACTCCAACAGATTCCTTCGCCCTTTCTCCAAGAGAAAAAAGAACAAGAATAACGTATTCCTCTTTACTCCATGATTCTGGAAATTGAAGCGAAGAAAAAAAAATGGTCCCCACAATGAAAGATGAGTGAACTTCATGTATCAAGTTTCCAGTGCAATATCCAGGAGGAATTCGAATCGTAAAAATTCAGTGGCAACAGTGAGAAATAGTTTGGTAGATAAAAAAAAAGAATTCAATGGGAAAATTGAAAACGTTGTGCAACCTATTGAATATGATATTTCCAGGTGTTAAGATGTGAAAAGACCTCTGAGAACTTGAGATAAATGGTGAATCATGGAAGGGATATCTTCGAGATTACGGAATCGCTTCCCAAGATTGCGAGTACAAGTCTGTCGTCTCGGTACGATCGATTGCATAAGAAAAAAACAATAACTCAAATGGAAGAGGATCGGAGTGGGACGGATACGTGTGAGAATAGATGTTCACAGTGCAAAGATAAAACTGTAATTCATCAATGGACCTTGAAGCTGTTAAACTAGAAGTGAACTTCATTCGAGGCGATATCTCTTAATAAGCTATAAATGAGGATTTAATAGGAATTATTTAACTGTTTGAGACTTGCGAAATCGATTTGCATGGAGAGTCATAAAGCGGCTCAACAAAAATCAAGTGCTCACATAAATTGTCCATAAATATCGTGATCGGAACTGTTGAAATTGTTGCAATTCAGTCGAATAAAGACACTGCAAGCACCAAGACGTAATTGAAATGATTGACGACAGCACGAGGAAGACAATAGTCTTCTTTTTACTGCAATTGGTTTTCTCATTATTCTGCATCGAAGAAGTACACGCGGAGTTCAAGAAACCCTTAAACGATGAGATCGTCATCCCGTATTTTGTAAGTTGTAACTGATTTTAATGGATAAGTCACAGGTATTAATGGAAAAAGCCTAAACCATCAGATGGATCTGATAAAGAGTCATGGTCGTGCAGCGGAATGGCATAATGTAACCACCGAGGATGGATTTATCTTGACAGTCTTCAGATTGCTTCCTAATTCATCAGACTGTCACCAAAAGAAACGAGTGCTTTTTCTTCAGCATGGATTAGCCGGTGCCGCCGACTTCTTCATCATTTACGGACCCACTCAAAGTCTTGGTAATTCCTTCATCCCAATAACTTTATCGATAGTTTTAAAACAAGTGATGATGAAAGAGGGGCTTTACGCACAGCTTACACACTCTCTGATGCTGGATATGATGTTTGGCTTGGAAACTTCAGAGGAAACACCTACAGCAAGAGGCATCACAATTTTCTGCAGGATGACGCTAGATTTTGGAATTTTAGGTGAGATGTTATTGTTTTTGTTGGAAGGATTGGGGTTTTTATCTAGTGTCTTGGCGTGTAGTCTGGATGACCTGGCGCTGCTGGACTTACCAGCGATGATCGATTATGTTCTCAAAGCTACCGGACAAACAAATCTGACATACGTAGCCCATTCGAGTGGCTGCACTGCTGTACTGATGTTGTTGTCCGATCGGCCAGAGTACAACCAGAAGATCAATTTGAACGTGATGCTTGCACCAATCGTGTTCTGGAAATTCAAGAACCCTGCTGTTTCGTTCTACACTTTACCGTTTCGATGGGTAAAACGAATTCTTCCAAGTGCTGCTGTTCAGTTTGTACCTCGAACAATGTTTGTCAGACCAGCTCTTGACAAGGTATGCTTTCGTAGTTCTGTGCCGTTCGATGTCTGTTGGTCACTGGTGGATATGATTGCTGGAAAGGATCATGAGCAGATTAATCGAGTAAGTTGAAGGATACAACTGTTCTGGACATTAATTATCATCATATCGTTGTGATCGCAGGAAATCATAATGAAGTTTCTGGACTACTATCCCGCTGGTACTTCACTCAAGATATTCTACCATTATATTCAGCACATAGACTCTGGTGAGATAAATTCGATTACTCGTCGATGTCTGGGGATAAGTGTATTTTATTATTTTAGGGAAATTACGACACTACGATTATGAAAGCCGTGAACGAAATGTACGGCGTTATGGGCGAGCTGAGCCTCCGGACTATAACTTGAGGAAAATTACGACTCAGTCAGTTATATTCCACGCTCTGAACGATCCTCTGAGCACCACAAAAGATACGGCGGTATTGATTGCAGAACTCAGTAATTCTTCCATGATTTATGAGGAAATCAGAAACAGAAAATTCAATCACATTGACTTCATCATTGCTAAAGATGCCAAGAAGTTTCTCCTTGATCCGTTAGTCAGAATACTGAGGAAAGTTCATGGCCCTCAATGTTAATCAATTACTTCAACTCGTCACATGAGACTCAAACGTCTCGTGCATCAGCTATCTGTTTCCTGTTGGAAATTATCTCCTTAAACGTCAAGAAATAAACTCTATAAAAATTTGAGTCGAATATTTGATTGTTTTTCTGGTCAAACACTTGATTTTTCGATTGAATTAATCGTCGAAATTACGAGACATTCGGAAAATTCATTTCATTTCACTTCCCATCGAAAACTCATAGATTATTATTGTTGTTATTCTTATTATTTTGTCATATTTTTCACGGGCTTTCGAGAAACTCTTATCAGTGCTGTTGGATTTATCATTGAATGTAAATTTTCTCTCTGAAATTTTGATGGATCATTACATGAAATAATGCATTACACAGACGACTGCAGGAGCTGACGACGGCTCGTGGTATATTAATTCATTAGGCGTCTGTTTCGTGATTAGGCTCGAGTTTATATCTACCACTTTCCCTTAATTAATTACAGTTAGAAGTTGCACGCGACTTAAGTACGTGCTCTTTGAAAATGGTGTAATTCATGAGAATTAATTATGCACCCAACGACTCCCCCCGAGATTTCTTGTTTTTATTTTAATCAACGCAAGAATGACGAATTAGTATCAATCGCTCACCCTCAACCCTTTCAACTCTTCATTGAACGTTTATTGAAAATGATTCGTTGTTAAAAAAATGACTATTATTTTTCACGTAATTGTAAATTAAATAGTTCGAAACCACAGGATCAATTGTCGATTGCAATTAAAGTATTATTTTATTTTTACATTTTTTCCTTTTCCTATTACCATTGTTACCATGGTTTGATAGGCGCCCCTTCGTCTTAGCCTTTCAGCCTCTCCTACTATCCTCTCATTAGCCTCTCCTACTATCCTCTCATTATTTTTGCGGTAGCATGGGCCGACTTTCTGT